TACCGCTGAACGCGGGGTGCTGGGCGCAGTGCTTTGTGTCGGGGATGCTGGACGGCTTCAAACTGCAGCCTGAGCGTTAGCGGTGAAGTTGCTCTGAGCGGCTCTCGATCACCTTTCCAGGCCATCCCCGCTTCTTCAACCAGCTCTCCACGGGACTGGATATCATCGGCTTGGCTGGCGAGTGGCTGACATCGACTGCCAACACGAACATGTAAGCAGCGTCCCGGTGTCCGCTCCTGCGTTTAGTGTTTAGAGGGGTGGCACCTATCTTGGTAGACGTGTGTTGTGATAGACATTTATTATTTTCTTCTTTAATTTTTGGAAGTCTCTTCGATAAAAGTCTCATAATTTTTCTTACTTAATGTGACAGTGCAATAGTTATAAAAGCTGAACAGCTCTTAAAGGCTTTTTTACATCACTGATACATAAAAATGCAAATATCCTGGAGCACATGGTAAGTGAAACATGTTCATTCTAATATAATAATATGAAATGTTTTCTCTTCTCTTGGACAATACTCATCTTGTCCCTTTTCTTTTTTTAAAGTTTGTCTAAAGGCAAACTGAGTAATTCCTGAGTAATTCTGCAGTTATCCACTTATTAACACTAGCATACAAAATATTTAAAACTTCATGTTGTCTTTCCTCCAGTTGACTTCAGAGGTAAAGGGCTTGGGGCCCACTCTTCTCCTGTTCATCTCCTGGCAAAATTGTTGCTTCTGGGTGACTTCAAAGGGATTAGAAATGTGACATTGAAAATTAATTCGATGATAATGAAGGAATTACTCAACCTAAGATTTGTTAAATTTTTTTTTTACACAAAAAAGTACCAACAACATATCAAAGAGAAAACATTTCCTTATTTTTATTGACTTCAAAAATTAATTAAAATTACAATGAAGTGCAAATTTGAACTTTTACAACAAAGAATGTAATCGAGGGGAACTCCTCCCCCCAACTTTTAGGTAGTTTTTATTTGTATACTGATGTGTATATGCTCCAAAATGTGCTGGGAGTCCAAATACTTGGCAGTTAACAAAGACTGGCTTCTGTTTTGGCTCTGTGTCGGATGTTTTAACTCTATTCTTTTCATCTGAAGCTATCTATAGTTTCAGGATGTAGATTCAATGTTGCTAGTTGGCAGAACACAAGAAATGTATCTGCAAATTGAAAAAAGAACACAGTTTTTACTGGTCCTTCCGTGAGTAAATGGTTGATTAAATATAGCTGATTATTAGCAGCTCGATGTAGATTACAAGCTGTGCCTGTTTTGTGACATTAGCGATAAAGAAAACTACATAAGGTACTCCAGCTAAAAACAGCCTGCTCTTTGCAATAATAGTCGTCTTAATTAGTTCTCTGTTAAAAATCTATATGAGACATTCAGATGTAAAAATTGCTTGGAAAAAATCCAACAACGTACATTTTAATTTTAAAGCAAATGTTGCAAGGTACTTTATTTTTTTTTACATCACAATTACAGGTGAAAAGAAATCTGATTACATTTCTGAAGGAAAACTTTGCTTAAATATTGTTTCCATATGTGAGGAAAGCATATTCCATTGCTGTAGACATAGACTGCCACTTTTTGTCAGCCACATTTCTTTTGAGTAATATCTTAGCTATACTTTTGTGATCAGGGAAATTGCACAAATCTGATAAAGCAAAATAGGATTTGCCTCTGCGGGAGATTACGATAATCTTGGAAGTATTGCCATCATTATTAAGATCATGACACTCACTTATTCAATTCCAAAGGAGAAACTCTTTCTTTAGGAGGTGGCTTTACTTTTCTTTGATTGATTTTAAGAGTATATTGTTAAATAGCTAGTTCTGTAAAGTGTGTAGATCATTTATACTTTAAGCAAAAACATATGTTGAAAATAGTTTTCTGCAAGCATGGAATTTCAGTATCTTTTTTTTTTTAATATGGATTTTACCAAATGGCAAATAATGTTTCTCTCTCTCTCTCTCCTTTTATTTTTTTCTCCAGCAAACCAAGGTCAATAGGATACGTTTTAAATAACACAGTAATTACAAATACAGTTAAAGCAAGATGTTTATACAATATAATTCAAAGAACTGACAGAGAAGGTTATTCTAAATAGCTAGATCAACTCTTTGTGCTCTGGGGAATATATTATTTGTTTTGAGCAGTGTTCCAGCTCAGAAGAGCAGGTCCTGACCTTTGTCTAGAAATTGTTCTAACCTGCTAGACAAGCATGTAATGTGACAGTAGTACTAGACTATGACAAGGAGTTTGTTTTCCATTTGCCATTTTTCATTTATGCATATAAACAATGCTTAAAATATTTGTGAACAATTAAAAAAACAAGTATTTTGTTTCCCAAATGAGTTTTGAGTAATCCAAACATTGAAGCCTCTTAATGTTTAAATTGTCATTATGAAGTGTCATTTAAATGGCACGTGAATATATCAAATTAAACACAGTAAGATTCCCCTATAGGCTTGGAAGTAATGTAGCAATGTGATATTCACAGCTCAATCGCTAAGCATGAGAGTTTCAGGGAAATTTTCGGGTGGAATGTTCAGAAGTTGCCGCTGTTCAGGCGGCTCCAGGGGGCTGTAGTGTGGGCTGCTCCCGCTGGCCAGGCGGCAGCTGGCTGAGGGCTAGCATGAGGGCTAGCATTATCCAGAAATTCCCTCTATGCTCCCTGTTAGCCCAGATGAGAAAATTATACTGACAGTATCAGTATTATGCATTTATGCTTATGCAAACATAACATGTACAAATTATGTAAAGTGCTTTGTGTTTGTTCCTTTTACATACTGGCAAACAGGAGAACAAGGAGATAAAATTATTTGTCCTGATAAAAATGCTACTGCCTTTAGGTGAGAGCAAAATTAAGCCAGCCCTGGGCACTACCAAAACACCCATTCATTTATTCTGTTAGTAAAGAGCTGAGACTTATGTCTGTTTGAATTAATTCTCAGAAGTACCTGTAAAGGTCATAACTGTATGCAAAACTTAATCAAGACTTTTCATCAGGAGACTGGGTCTGAAGTAGGAGGGTTTCTGCCATGCCAAATGCATTTTCTATGTTTTACTGACGTTTTCAAAATCATTTAAGTTTACAACAAATAATTTGGAGTGTCCTTCACCACAGTCTTATTCTATTTGATTATCAGTCTTTGGAGACTCAGAAAATAATTACATAATAAAATAAATAAGCATTATTTTATTTGATTTTAAGTATATTCAACATTTCCTTGATATTTTATTTTAAATAATATACATAATTTTTAACTTGCCTAAAACTATATGCTCTTCATGCAAACTTCTAAATCTTCCAAGAAGTATATAGGCATTAGCGTGTACGTTCTCAGGACAAAACTCAAAATGCATTTAAACTGATGTAAAAAAAAATCATATTAGCTTAAACATGTCTTCTATTAGGTTACAGTGGTGTATAAGGTGCTGTGTTCCTGTTGACTTCAGTTGGTCATTCTGTCTGAATAAAGGTTGGAAAATATCCTAGAGTTGCTATGTGGGGAAAAAAGAAAACAATCAACTATTATGATTTTGCTACTGAGAAGATTTGCTACTGAGAAACCAGATACCAACTGGTTTATTAATTTTCTCTTTCTGTAACTTTTGGCAACACACAAATTCCAGATCACTGTTCAGAAGGCTGTCTCTGGCAATTCTGATCATGATAAAAGCAAAATAAATAGTACTTTGGCCTTTCAAAACTAGAAATAGCAACAATTAGAAAAAAAATGCTATTTAATCTTAAATATTTTTAAAATAGTGTTATCGTATCTGTGATGGATTAAGGACATAGGCAAAGTGTGTAGGAGAAGATAATCATTTATTTTAGACTAACCAGTGTGGATATAAAGAGAAGACACTCTTTGAGCCACACATTATCTTCTTCAGATAACATATCTCCTTAAATTTTGCCATAGCTATTCTCCGAATGTCATTTTAGTATTAGTAGAGAGACAGCACATAGATTTTGGCCAGATTATTTAAATGAAAGACTTAAAGAATCAGTCAAATCCTGAGCATTTTGGTGTCATATTCTTGCCGATCTCTTCAGAAATCCTAGGTTGATTGTTTAGTTTCTTTCTGTTTTTGGTTTTGTTTTGGTTTTGTTTTGTTTTGCATACAGCAAGCAGAGCTTATTTACAGCAGTAGCAATTTATCCATGTACCTTGATCACCACAAGTGGTTGTATGGCTGTCACTTTCCATCCCTATATCTGACCATGGCATCATGGCATATGAGACCATGCAATGTGTTTGCCCTCATTAAGTGAATACAGCAGTTGACTGCTGTCTTGTTTTTTGTAATTGGTAATTAGAAAGTCATCATTTATAATTACTCTTGACAGTTATTGATCATATGGTATTGTAGAAATAAGTTGTCCTTGGAGATCATCAACATAATAAATCCACATAATTAATTGTATTTAGATTTTGAAGTCCTAGCTCAATATCTGTAATTATGCTCAAGGTTAGGTGGGTGAAGTTCACTGTTTTCATAAGGTTTTGGCAATATGTTATTCCAGAAGTGTGAAACTGGCACTCTGGGAAACAAACATGTTACAGTCCAATTTTGCATAACAATGACCAGCACTATGATGGTGAGCACAAGTCTCACGTTGGCTATGTAGAAAAGTTACTAGAGAGCTGATGTTGTGGTCTTTATTGACCAATATTGCCAATATTGTCTTCCTGGGGGTTTTTTGCTTGAGCAAAGATTGCAATATGAGACCCTAAATTTATGGGAAAATTTCTAGGACTCTTAAGCGTTTTCATCAAGAATCACAGACTGAGAATTCACTGTGTGTTTTGGATTCTGTATTTAATTTTTTGTTGTTGTTTTATCTGTGCAGGTTTACGTATGAAATTGCCCCTGTTTTTGTCCTCATGGAGCAAATAACGCTTCGAAAGATGAGAGAGATTATTGGATGGTCAAATAAAGATGGTGATGGAATATTCTCACCTGGTAGGTTTCACTTCACTCTTGGTGGTTTGACAGAAACTTCAAAAGTAAAAATATCTTCATGAAATAGTTGCAATGTAAAATGACATGTCAGAATTTTAGAAGTAGGAATTTGCCACCTGAAGTATTTACTTCATTTAAACATAGCACAACAAGTTGAAGAAAATGATCTTTATCTTCAATATGGCTATGTATCGTGGCTATACAGAAACCTGTCCAACATTTTAAAACTTGATTATGTGTTCTGGTACCTTGTCAGGCATTTAAATAGCCTTATTCTTTTGCCTCATTCCTGGAAGCGCTGAGCAACCACAAGCCCTGCTGACCAACAGCTCCTGAGAATCACCTATTGACTTCTTTGATGGTTAATGAGAATTTGGGCACCCAGTCAGGAAGAGAGTGCGAGTGGATGTTGGTCACTTCCCGTGGCATCATTTTCCCAGAAATCTGACTGAGTTCCCAAAGTATGTTTTTTTTTTTTTTTTTTTTGGAAGAGCAAGCCAAAGTGTCACCCCATGAAGGCAATATAACGGCAGTCAGCAGTGGCAGAAAAGACTGGGAAAACATGTGGAAGCCCTAGGGCCAGTGTGAGGACAACACAGGCACCTCACAGAGCTCCAGATTTCTGGGTTTGTGAGGGTGAAACATCCTGTTTCAGAGGATGAAGGACAAATTCCACATCCTTTTGGAATAATCAGCCTAAAATCCATGAATGTACACTTACTTGATTGCTAGTCTGATCTGCGAGAAAAATACAGATCTTTCCCAGGGTTCTTGTTGGAGAAGAAATATTGGAGAAATAAGTTCTCCTAGACTTTATGGATGAGGCTAGTCTTACGAAATCTTGATGTCTGCATTGTACAACTGAGCTAGTTATCCTGGCATCTTTTTGTAAGTAAACCCAGAGAAATACATGCTTTCCCTCAATTAACCTTCTTCAAAAATAACTATTAAAAATAGGCTTGCTGAATTATAGCCCAGAAAGTAGCTCTTTCTATTAACTGACTACAAAGGGAGCTTAGGATAACTAGCTCAGATGTAGAAATCGACCTTTTAGACATCCATCTCTACATCTATGATAAGAGGGGATAAATCCACCCAGTATGTGACGTTTCTTCAGTCCCAGTCAATTTGATAAGTTTCTGCTATTCTTACTAACAAGAAGCTATCATGCAAAGGCAGCATAATGAAAACTGATGCCTTTAGGAATGTGTTACAAAAATATTGACAGAAGACAGGAAATTCGGACTATCAGGATGACCTTCCGGAGGGTCTGTCCATTTCCTGTTTAGACAGGTAACCATGAATTTCAGAGGTTTATTCTTTCATAGTTCACCTCCACTTTCACTGCGTAACACAAATGAGACTTGCTTGTGTTTGGTCCAATATACCTTTTTTCTCATAGTCACTATTTCATTGTTCATTCATTTGCAGGAGGCGCTATCTCCAATATGTACAGCATAATGGCTGCACGCTACAAGTACTTCCCTGAAGTCAAAACCAAAGGCATGGCTGCAGTCCCTAAACTGATTCTCTTTACCTCGGAACATGTGAGCTTGATATGCTGCTATTTATAAATTTATTGATATATATTTTGAAGATGTTTCACCATTGACTGCTCCACTATTAAACATACGTATGTTTTGCTGCAGAGTCACTACTCAATAAAGAAAGCTGGAGCTGCACTTGGATTTGGAACAGACAATGTAGTTTTGATAAAGTGCAATGAAAGGTAGGTTTTGATATATTAAATGTGTTCATCTGTTAAATTTGTTTTATTGTGCTTAAGGACTGGTTCAGTACAGTGTGTCAAGTTGCTAATGGCCTGTTGAGAAAATCCTATTAAATTATTTCAGCTGTAGCTATTTTCTCTGTGCGGAGTCTTTAACTTTCTTTGTCTTTCTGTTTCTGCAATAATTACAGAGGCAAAATAATACCAGCTGATTTGGAGGCCAAAATTTTGGAAGCAAAACAAAAGGTTTGTGTTTCTAAAACTTAGTGCTTTAATGCTTGTGTTAATAAAATGTGTTATCTGTCTTCAGGGTTGAAGGCTGAGGGTTAACATTAACCAAGAACATTATAATAATATTTTCAGTTTCTTAATTATGCAGTCATGTATTATTTAGGGAATCATCTCTGTCTATATATTTCAATTTACTCTTTAAACACCCTATATTTTTAAACCCTTGACCCACATCTATATTTTCTGATTTCTTTTTCTTTTCTAACTTTCCGATCAGGAATATCGGAAATATCTGTTGGATTGGAAATATCTGTTGGAAATATCCGAAGTATCTGGAAATTTCTATTTGGGAGTATTGGCAATAAACTTTCTGTTTGGGAAAAAGACTATTAAAATGTAAAACTAAAATGGATTTTAGTCAAACTTTAAGGGTTAGGCAAAACTATTGAAAATTCAAGTTGAGGTTAGTCCTAAAAATTCCCATAGAATTCATGTATGAGTCTGCAGGATCAGTAATTGCAGTCGGTAAGTTAATTTTTTTTTTATTTGAGGCATTCATTATAATTTTTGAATCAATGTAATGAAAAATCTCTTAATGTTGTATAGAGCTACCAAAGTTAGAGCAATTAAGATTTTTTTCTTTTAAACTTTTTATGTTTGGGCATTCCTTACAGTTGCACTTGGCATCTTTTTCATCTAATTCAAAGGTGACTTGCTTTGAACTGATAGTTCCACATTTATTGCTTTTGTTTTGGATTGTTTTGTTCTGCTTTGTTCTCTTTATAGTAAAGTCAAAAGGAACAACTTTAGATCTTTGAATCAAAACTTATAAATCATATTCAATTAATTTGCCTTTATACTGTTACAAGAGTCTCTTAGCTTTACTTGACTATTGCTAGTTTATTACTGGAACATTTGAATCTCCTAACTGAAAGAGATTAGACAAAATGCTACTCTATCTTCTGATTAGTTAATTTTGTGATGTTACAGGACGATAATCACTCCTAGTTTGTTCCTACCATGTATCCAGTTTGTTAGTTTCTACTGTTGCTTGTGTGCGTCTCTCACTGTGGGAAGAGAAACTCTTGGAAAAGCAGAACAGCAACATTTCTAAAATGATTTTCACATCTTTTTTCTGAACCTGGTTGGATTTTGTATTTAACTAATGTTTTAATTTATATTGTAGGGATATGTTCCTCTTTATGTAAATGCAACTGCAGGCACAACAGTATATGGAGCCTTTGATCCCATACAGGAGATTGCAGATATATGTGAAAAATATAACCTCTGGCTCCATGTAGATGTAAGTAGCTGAACAAAGTACTATTATTCAGGCGAAAGAAGATTCCTGTTTACACATTTCATGTTGAATTAAAACATTTGTTATTAGATCCAGAGTAAATTAAAATATGTTAGGCTTTTCCAACCAAAACAGTGAGTATTTGCATTTTTCTCTCTCTTCTAGGCTGCTTGGGGAGGTGGACTCTTAATGTCCCGAAAGCATCGCCATAAACTGAATGGAATAGAAAGGTACTGCATACTGCTTATTAGTATTATTGTTATTTAAGCAGTTTTAAAGGGGTACATGACACTTCATAAATGTAAGAAAAGATGACTTTGCTGCAGTAAGGAGCTTAAACAGCAAATTAAACAAAAGCAAAACAGACAGGAGAGGAAGATTAAAACAATTTTGCAGAAGAAAACAGCTGAGAAGATGTACAGCTGAGTGAAAGGTAAGTTTTCAGTAGATTTGAAAGGGAAGAGGATGTTAGTTGGCAAAAGGAAGGAAGATTGTTCTAGGCATAGCTTGGAATGGGTCCCCAGTCTGGGAATGGGTCAAGATGGATTTGAGAAAACCAAGATGCAAGGTCTAGAAAAACCATGAAATGTGAGGCTTTGAAGATAGCAGTGAGGAAGGAGGAATACAAAAAAGGTGTCTGAGCACAGAGGCCTACAGAAGTGAAGCCGTGACATTGTGGGAATTTGTAGAGATTCTCTCCTGAAGCAGATTTGCAGTCATTTTCAGAAAATAAATAAGCCTAAGTTCTGTCTGAAAATGAATATTCTGTAATGAAAGCCAACATATGGACACAATAAAGAGAGGAACACATTATAGAGACTGAACTAGCAGCAATTGTTAGGGACAGATTTTAGCCTCTGTAGGGCTGAAAAGGACTCTGATAGCAACAGAGCTGATACAGTTGTACTGTGCCAGGCAGAAGGCTGAGGAAGCTGAGAAACGGAGCCCAGAAACCAGGTCACAGATGCTCACTGCATCTCAGTGTAAAACGGCCTGTGAGTTGGTGCCACATGGGGATTGTATGAAACAAGTAGGAAGCCCTTGTAGAGGCCAGAGTGCAGTTTGCAGAAAAGAGTGCATTTAGGTGCCCCGAAACACATAACCCAGGTTACCAAGCTGCCCACTGAGACCAGAAGTCAGCCTTTATCAAGCAATTAATTGAATCAAATGTAAAAAGGTAAAAGTATTTGTGTTGGAAGTGAGAACAGAGTGAGAGCATGGCCCTCACCTTAGCCCTTACAATTCAAACTTCAGGAGGGGTCCCATGTGTTATGAGTAGCCTTCTACACACATGTTCTCGTATCTAATGATGACAAGGCCTTAGTCTGTAGAAGATGCTATGTCTATAATCCCATGGGTGTGTTGATCTCTAGATTTCCCCAAAGGCTGCCCATCTGAATAAAAATCAGAAAAGCAATGAAGAACCAGAAACTTGGGACCTTTACCATCACTGCAGATATCTCAGCTTCCAGGAGAAGCAAAAAAAAGATTTGGAAAAAAAACCTCTACCCATGTACTCTCAAATTAGCACCCACACCGAATGTGGGCATAGTGTAAAGGTATGAAATGAGAACAGTGAGCAAAGCTCCTTAAGGAACGCTAACCTCCATTGTCGGCATCTCATACAGTAAGTGAAGAAAAAGTATAGGATAAAGAATGGTATGGGTTAGGGAGTACAGAAGGACTGAACCAAACACCAAGGAAGAAGAAAACCACATAGACCCTTCTGGTGCAGGGAAAGCAGTCTGTGGCGCCGTGGTAGCTCTGAAGTAGCAGAACCACATAAACCTCTGGCCAGTCCAACCTGCCAGTCACTCATTTGATGGCCACATATCTAATATGGAGTCAATAGTATGGGAGATTTTCCTTAACCTATGCAGGTTTAGTCAAAATGGTTTGGCACACCTCTCCTGACCTGAGGTCAGCCCAAAGGTGCTAATGAAGACCATAATCTCAAGCAATGACTGGAAACGCAGGCCACAGAGCATGGTATTATGTCTTTTCTAGTCAGCTATAGTAATCGCCGAACGCTGGATGAGGTCCACACGTGCTGCACAGTTGTTTGTCACAGGCCCCAGCTGGGATCTATTGCCAACACAGGCTGGACTTGGCCTGCCCAGAAACACGAACGTATAGGGCCTGACATGCTGTCGTGGGTACAGAGATGTACTAGAGTAGCCTCTGGCTGGCTGGCTGTGCAGGACAGAGGACGATGTCTTCGTGTTAAAATAAACCAAATGTTTCCTGGGAAAACTACTTGAGTTTGCCTTGAAATTAAATAAAGGGGCTAAACTGAGACTGTAGCTCTCACTTAAAAGAAAATGAGCTGTTACATAAATTCCTGTTTCTTGACTGCTCCCTGTGAACTACCATTTAAGTTGTTGAAAAAGAAAATGACTTCTTAAGCCTATTTCTAAACAGACACCAACTGAGCTATGTACCTGCTCATCTGTACTGCCCACGCAGGTTTTGGGGGGATGCTGAGCTCCTGAGGTGCGGCACTGGCTGCTCCGTTCTCTTGGCTGAGGCGTGCTGCTGTTGAACCTCGTGCAGGCAGAGGCTGGAATCGCATCCGAACCCTTTGTGGGATTAGTGGTCCTCAGACTCTGGGCGAAGGAGTTGCTGTGTTGCCCTGGATAGAGGAACTGTGGCTGTGCCCATGCCCCTGAGAGCAGGGTGTAGGAGAGGAGGAAATCTCTCTGAATTTTGCTTGAAACGCGTTGTATGAACACATGCAAAGTCTGTGAAATTTATAACTATGGGCTTCCCTTCTCTAGAAAGCAGAGTGACTTGAGGGGACATTTGGTGATTACTGACCTAGAATGAAGAGGTCAGTAGACGTGTAAAGTTGGGACATTTATTTTAGCATCACCATTAAAGTGTCTAGGATAGTGTGTTAAAATTACAGAACATTTCATTTGTTTGGCCAGTAAATTAAGTGATCTTGGGCATCCATTTATGCTTACTTACAAAAAGTTTTAAACTTTATATACAGAAGAGTAGGCATGTGCTATAAAGTTTTATAATCTCTTAACAATCTGGGTTTGACAAGATAAAACAGAAAAGGCCTCGTATGGCTCTAACTGGAAAAGTGGATAAGCATTAGGAGTGTCTTATCCTTTCCCTTGTACTCTTCCAGCAGCTATTCGATGAGGAACTGTATTTTCCTGATGCTTTGGATTTTTTTCCTTAATTCTCTGCCCCTTCCAGTCAGTACCTTGAACTGATATAACTAGTCAAACTGTTTTTATTAGTTTTGTTAATGCTATTTCTAGAAGTGGAATCTTCTGGGGATGAATTTACAATATTAGCTAATCAGCAGAGTCTGACACTAATTAGCTGGTATTATTAATACTATAAACTAATCAGAAGTCTGACATTGCAATATTAATCCAGGAAAATTCCTTTCCTGGACAGTGCAACTGGGAAAGAAGACGTCTGAGACAGTAATAACCTCCGTAGTGAAAACAGCTGGTCAAAACTCCATACGCTTTCAGCTGAAAGCAGAAATGGAAGGTGACTACTCCAGGTTAAGTTTTTGTTTTCCAGACCTATCTGAACGTGTCATTCTTTTGCAGAGCCAACTCGGTAACTTGGAATCCACACAAGATGATGGGAGTGTTGTTACAATGTTCTGCCATTCTTATCCGGGAAAAGGTCTGCTTTATATTTAGTAGTTAAGCTGTTAAAAAGGAAATTGTAAATATCAAGCCCTACTTTTTAAGGGGATAGTGTAAAATCTATTTCATTTCATAAACTTATTTTGGAAGGAATAATTGTGTGGATTTTATATTGTGTTTAGTTAGGGAAGAAGGAAGTTGTTTTACTTTTCTGGTTTTGGTCAAAGACTCCGTGGACCAGATCTTTAGCTGGTGTATCTTTGCATATTCTAATAACAACACTAGAGTTATGCTAATATTCGTCATCTGAGCATCTGCCCCTTTGTTCCTATGACCTACCCTGGGTCATGGTAATTGTACACTGTTTAGACTACTGAAATAAGTGGCAACTATTTTACTTTACGCAGTGTTTTAAAAGTTTTTTCAGTTCAGTTGAAAAGAAACTATGTTGCTTTTATCAGGAGACCATATATATTTTTAGGCCTTTGTTCTAGATTGTCCAGTGCCATCAATGAAAGCACGACTGATGTCTTAATTCTTTTAAGATCTATGTATTTTCCTTAGATAATCAAAAAAATCATGTCATTTATATATAGAACTGTTTCTGTGGTCTCTTAATTGCTGGCATGTCATTTGCTACTCATGGAGGTTAGTTGAGGAGGAAATGGTGCCCGTGTGTAGAGCTGGGATGCAGGAGCTGGGGGCTCCAGCCCTGGGTCTGCCATTGGCCTTCCAGGCAACCCATCTCTAAACTGAGGACCGTGATATTTATTCTCCTTTGTAAAACACTGAGATCTATTGGTGGGAAGCACTAGCCATTTTTCAGTGGCATGCATGCTACCATGCTAACTATTGCAGATTTGTTGCAAAATCATTCTGTGTTTGAGAATTTTTGCTGTTTTTTGTATTTATCAGATAACAGTGGTCTTTCAGCTTCTGCAATGTGCCGCTAAGATATTCCAGAGGAGGTGCAATCCCCTTTAGAAATGTTATACATATAAGATTTTTAAGTAGTATATAGGAATTTACTTTTCTGACTTTCCCTCATAGACTCCTTAGAAGTAATGCACAAGTTTTCATTGGTCTGTGGACCATCATTTAAAAGTAGCTATTGTGAAGCAACCCCCAAAGGGCTTATTTTGTAATATTTTTAATATTTATTTTTAAGCAAAAAAAAGTCCAATTTAGCTCATTTGTGGCTATTTGTGCCTTCCCTGGCACTAATGTAAAGTGACAAAAAGCTGGCCACTATATGAAGTTGAAGCCTTCAACTTTTTTTTTTTTTTTCATCTTCTGTAGCTATATACTAAATTGAGAGACAACAAGTTTATTCTAGTGTATAGCTTAAAACATCAAAAATGTAAGCCTTTAAAATATAGTCTTTAGTCCCAACAGCCTTACAAAGTAAAGTAGACAAAGTTAGTTTGCAAAACTCAGAATTCAAATTCATTTGAGGATGTTTTACTACTCAGGGTCTTCTAAGTGAACCACTTGAGGTTATGAAATTGTGTCTGTGGATCAGGTTCTCAAAACTAGGTCAGTATTTCATAACCTGTCCCTTTAAAGAACAATTCTGTATATATTTGACATGCAATCCTTTTGTGTTTTTAATGCATATAGTTTTAGATGAACATGTGCCATATAAGTTTCATATACATTAAAATATATGTTTTTCATAATAGGGTATACTTCAAGGTTGCAATCAAATGTGTGCAGGATATCTTTTCCAGCAAGATAAACAGTATGATATATCCTATGACACTGGAGATAAGGCAATACAGTGTGGGCGACACGTGGACATTTTCAAATTCTGGTTGATGTGGAAGGCAAAGGTAAATAATAGAAGTGCAGTTCGAACGTCAGAAATGTATTTATTTCATCTGGAAGTCTCATGTAATAGAATACTTTGTTAACATAGTGTTTGTTTGATTACTACCTCTAAACAGAGAGGCAGCTAAGTAGCAAGTCAGGAAAGAGCTGTTTAAGCTGTAGAACAATGTTAGCTATCAATTCAGCTGGAAATTAGAAGAAAGCATTAAATCACTAGATGAGTGTAGTTCAAGGACAGTCCTGCAGTAAAAGCAGTGAGGGCAGGACACCAAATAGTCTTTTATTGTGATTCTATGCACTTACACCGGTATTCCACGCCAGGTTACTTGCAGCAGCAGCAGAGTAGACTTGGTGACTTAAGAGGGTCCTTCCAGCCCTGAGTTTCTGTGTATGGATTTTATTGGCAACTTTGGAAAGAAAGCCTGCTTCTTAGGGAGCTTTGTCTAACTAGTGATTTAACAGTTGATTCCCTGGCACTACCGTGGTATGCTTGGGTGGCTGAAGTTAAGCACAGGCATACATATTTACAAGATGATGGCTCACATGTTCGAGAAAACACATCTAATTTTTACTTCTTTACCTGCAGTCGTCTTATCACTATTATTCTTGCTCTTCTGACAAAATGGGAATCTAGCTGGGTAACCTGACAACAGGTTAAACTTTTTTTTTTCTTTCTTTTTTTTTTTAATAAAACTGACATTAAATCCAATGACAAAATGTAGAGTCATAAGACTGTTTTGACTTTGAGAATTATATAGCAGTAGTAAATAACCTATGATGATAAAAGATATCTTCATGTAGATGTCCTCATTATTGAATAGAATATAGAGCCTAGGCCCAAAAGTCATCTTACAACTTTACCTTTAGACGTTTCATTTCAGTACAAAGACCTTACCCCAAGTATGCAATAATTTAATATTTATACCTGTCTTTTTTTACTGCTTCATTCACATACGAAAGCATTTCTTTTTAAAAAGCTTTGTTTTTCTAATTTTATTATTATTATTATTTTTTACAATGGAAACTTCAGCATTCATCTAATTCTGGGGTTATGATCTTGCAAAAAATCAGATGTTACAAAAGATCAAGTAGGTGGGCAAATGACTTTAACAAACCTATTGCAGGCTTTTATTTGCTTACTTTTTAATGTAAAATTCTTGCAAACTGTTCAGTGAAAGTAAGGTATTTCCCTACTCTGACCCATTCAAGTGAGCTTCCATTCCATGTTCACAGCCTTTCAGCAAAACCTGTGAAGCCAACGCTTAATATTCTTGATATTTTTGGAAGCAGGAAAAAACAGAGCTAAAAATAATCTATTAGAAATTTTAAAAGCCCTTTTAATTATCATAATAAACTCTCTTAAAAACAGAGCAAAACCAAAATAATGATTATAGTTAGGACAGATTTACGTGCTTATGTAGTGAATGTTTCACTTTATTTTTAAATTGGAAAATAATAATAATCTTGCTAAATGTTTCACTTAATGGCTGAACCTGTTTACATATGAAACTTATTTGAAAAGATGATTGCATCAGAAGAGGAAAAATAACCGTATAGTTAATACTTGCCTTCTTTTTAAAATAGGGTACAGTAGGATTTGAAAATCAGATCAACAAATGCCTGGAGCTGGCAGAATATCTGTATACTAAAATCAAAAACAGAGAAGAATTTGAGATGGTTTTTGAAGGAGAGGTAAGTTTTCTTTAATTTAACCTGCGAGTAGGAGCCTAGTCTGTGGAATTCTGAAAACAGTCTGGGCGCCTCTCGGAGTTCTTCACCCCACCTGCGTTGGGTTGCTGCTCTTACCTTCTAAACAACAACATGACTATTGACCTGTGGGCAGTCTTTTGGCCAGACGCGTGTGGTTTTATATTGTAAGTACTAGACTATCTCCTCTCCCTGTCTTCTCAGTTTAGGCATGAAAACTGCTTTAATACAACCTACTCATGCCGGGATGCCAGATGCTGCCGTATACATAACTGTAAACCTGCTATTTCTGCTATCTATATCCTTGGTTGCTAGTGCCACTGCATAAACTCTTGGCTGACAGAATAATATATTCTACCTCTTTATTTATAAGAAAAAAAAAATTGTGTTTCCCTTCCTGGGATCCTGGAAAACGGTTCCTCTTAAAACTGTCTCAAAGTGAAAAGCATTTGTGCTTCATTAGCACCCTAAAACATTGTAAATGGGACACCTAATATGGTATTTTAGGTGTCCCTAAAATAGCAGTTTTGTAACACATTTATTTTGTTCTAACATACAGAGCTAGCAACATTAATACTATATTTGGAGTCCCATGTCTGTGCTAAAATCTGTTACTGACTAGCGTTTAGGTGTGAGTCACCTGTATTACTGTTTATTAATGTATGTGTCTGGTTATTCTTTTTGCAGCCTGAGCACACAAATGTTTGCTTTTGGTATATTCCACCGAGTCTCAGGGGTATGCCAGACTGCGATGAGAGAAGAGAAAAGTTACACAGGGTATGAGGCTTATATTAAATGCAAAAATACAATCTATTATTTCAACATCAAATATTCCATTTATGAGAAATAATTTATCGATGTGTGTGACACATGTTGCAAGTTCTGGGACATCAATTCAATTACTGATTATGACCTTGACACTTGTTCCCCTTTTTCTCCTGTTTATAGTGTGGTGGAAGTAATGTTTCCCCTCTAGAACCAGATATAGAACATACTTAATAATTGTTTGTTACGCATTACTTGTATGATTCCAGAAGTGTACATGAGTTTAAAAAGTAGCTAGGGACAAGTGGTCTTTGTCCAGGACAGTGTATCAGCAAGGGAAAGGGAAGAGGAGTTACTAGAAAATACTAGAACAGATGAAGCACATGGAAACCTATACATTCTTAAATCTTTATTTTTATTTTAAATGTGCTGGTTAGTCATGAGTGATTTCACAATACTTGATTAATGAATGCATTTCAGAGAAAATCAATATCCTTTGGAGGACTTCGGGACAAATCTATTTTAAGGAATGATGGAGTGAGCAGAGTCGGGACACGGTAGAAGCAAAGCCAGGAGAAGTTTTTTCTATTTAGGATCTGAGGGAAGTGAAACACATTAATTCTGTAGTAGCAGTTTAGACAGAAGTGAAGTGAAGTAAATTCAGGAGACGAAAGAATGAAATTATAGTCGTCAAAATGAGTTGCAATTTTTGTGTGTGTGGGAAGGAAGAAGAATAGGCAAACTTGGGAGGTTTTGTAGAGGATTTTTGTGGCTGCATCAGGCTGGGGAAAGGCAAGAGAAGACAACTGCAGTTGCTGGGAGAAGCCAGTGACGTGTTAGAGAAATAAATTGCCAAAAGTGAGAGAGAAAAGAGGAAGATGGATGAGACTGGGAAAACGGATGAAATGTTTGACTTGACTGTCTTAAATGTTAGAGGATATTATAAAGCATCCTACAAAACAGTAAAAGAGCCAGAGATATGACCTTGGCTGGCAGAGAATAAAGCAGGACAAAGAAGTCCTGGATGGCAGAACTGAGCTCAGTCGACACCAAATATTAAGACTGTTGGAACATTATTCCTTATAAATTGAAGTAATAAAGTGAAATTGAGGTAAAGGGAATGCAGAACTACTGGAAGGTTTCCACAGCTTATGCTAACAGAAAATATTATTTATGAAACAGGTCTTATTAAAAATTTTCCATCTTTTTTTCCCCAGCAAATTGGTTTTGAAAATACATAATATTCTCATGGAAAGCATCTGTGGTCCTCGAAAAATTGATTTTGGAGTAGATCTTCAAAAAAAGAGAGAAAATCTTTCTTTATTTGAAAATCTTCCGTATCTCTTCTCTCCCCCCCACAGTCTAGCAGAACTGTGCAGCACTGAATGTTGAAAGTGAGGCTGTAAATAAGAAATGTCATTCATTTTCATTGTTCAAGCTGTAAAAATGAAGATTAATCAGCACATAGAAATAATACGTACATTTGTTATCTAAAATTATTGCAAACCTAATATTCTAGGATGTTATTAGTCTCTTAATGAAAACAAGATTTCTTAAAAGATGGATTTCATTGTTGTAAATTTTCCTTTAAATATCCAATCCTAGAAACATGCTTAGCTTTTCAGGCTTTTTCTTTTACAGATATTTTTTATATTAACTTGTGCCTTTCTGATTTGTCTGTTTCTTTTTGTTTTCCAAATTCAGAAATGCTTTGATATAAAAAGAGAGGGGAAAGTTTCTGAATTACTTTCTCTTTTTTTAAATCATAAAGGTGGCACCGAAAATCAAAGCACTGATGATGGAGTCAGGTACTACCATGGTTGGATATCAGCCTCAGGGGAATAAAGTCAACTTCTTCCGAATGGTCATCTCAAACCCAGCAGCAACTAAGTCTGACATTGACTTCCTCATTGGGGAAATAGAGAGACTGGGGCAGGAGCTGTAGTACAGTGGTCAAATTATCTATTTCTCTAATACATTGTTTTCCAGCACTGGCTATTTTTTTTATCCAGTTCTGCAGAACATGTTTTAAGGAAATTCTCTTTCTGTAAGCTCCAATCTCCTGAGACATCTCTAAACAAAAATCTATAGGCTACTGAAACGTATATATATTGGTAGATAATTTTACTGAGGGAAAATGTGTTATCTTGAAGTTGAAGTACTATTGACTCTTACATTGTTCTTGCTTATTATACTCAGCAAGAAATGAATAAGTACTAAAATAATAAATTTAGAACTCTATACAGTATATATGTACAGTATAAATAAATATAAATAAATATATATACAAACATATATATATACATATATATATGTAAGTGGTTATGAACTTAGATCCAAGCCACAGCATGTTTTCCACTTTAAGAGAAATAACTTTTCCTTCAACAACTAATGATGTGGATAATGTGCTACAGATTATTCTGCCAGGTAAAAATAGGCGTATAGAAATGTTTCTAAAACGTAGATTCTAGGAGCTAAGGAAAATGTTTAGCAGTATTAAATATTATTGTTGGTGCTCTTCTCACATACGAAACAGCAATCTCTTACAGCACCTTTGAGTAAAATAGTTGTACTTCCCCTTTAGTGTCACATCAGGGGATAATAGTAGCAAAGTCATTGTAACAGGTATATTATTGATGTATTTTTAGAGGTTAATTTGTGTAGATTGTGTATATTATTGTTAAATGACTTTGTGTAAAAGGATTTAAATGTAATAGTTTTCCAGCAAGATAACTGTTCAATTGTAGGTATATGAAATATTTGGTTATTTATATGCAGAGATTTACCACGCTAAAGAGTTGTCTTGTATTTTCTTCCATTTGTAATGTATCCTATTTATATATTACTGAAGTTCTAAATAATGTTAATGGTATTTTAGTGTATTTGTGAGCCAAAGAAAAAATACAAAAATATTAGTTGACACTTTCATTTAAATATTAATGCCCTTAAAATAGTAACTTACAGATAATTTTACTGATTATAAGGAATTGAGACATTGTATATAGAATATCAAATAATGAAATCCCTTTAATTTAATAGAATTTTTAGTTTTATTAGCTGTAATGTCAGACTGTCTGTTCAGTGTTCTGAATGCTTTTCTAGTGAATACTGGTTGCTAACCAAGGCCCCTGTTGTTGTGTTGTATTTCAGGACTAATCTCTATGACCAGTTTAACTAAATTCTATGGCAAGATTCCTGAAGGTCTGTAGCGTTTCTGTGGGAGTCTTAACCAGCATCATTGTTTCAGTGACATGGAATTGACTATACATTTTGGAGTTTATAGAATAAATAAAACCAAATGTCATCTCAGAATCTTTAATACAGCTGGCTTGTCACAACAATTTAAACAGGCCACGCTTTTCAATATACAGACACCAGAGCCATCTGCAGCTTGTTCAGTCTTAATGATTAGATGATCAATACTCCCAAGTGGAAAACTCCATACTGGAGGCAGAGCAGTGGAACAAAATGAAGATTCAATAATCCTCTGTCTACAGAGTGACTATCATGGCAATAAACGGGACATGCTAATTTCAAATCTTTTCATACATGGTTCTGTGGCTATTGTCCGTGGAAGTCAGTAATTAGTTGATTTTTTTTCCCCAGATCAACAATAAAATGAATTTTAGAAACATTCAGTGAAAGAACAGTAGAGAGTCACAGTTTGATTTTAGGACTGTAGTGATAGCCTGTTCACCACCTTTGAGGCTTTCCTATACATGCCAAGAGAGCGGTGCGTCCCCCGCCAGCCCTGTCGCCCCTGGGGAAGGGCAGCAACAGCCAGGAGGATTTCCCTTCTGGTCCCACCGGTTGCTTCTGAGGATGCTGGCTCACAGCTCTGGCTCGTTGGAAGAGAGAGAAGGAAGAAACTATCATGGTAATTGCACCATCATATGTGGCACAGTCTTCCCAGCTTTTCCTAGGGCTCCTGTTCACCCCTCTTCCATACACCTCTGTAAAGCTTTTTCTTGAAACCATTTGAGTTAAGTCTAAAAATGATTCTAAATTTGTCCTCTCTTTCATCTTTCTGATAATGACTTTCAGCGGATTATCTATTGTTATTTTTATGCCATGAAATCCCTGGTAATCTCAGCAGTACAATGTTCCTTTTATTAGATTATTTTTCTCAAGACAGTGCTGTTCATGTCTTGCTTTCTTAGTCTTAAACCTTACTCTTCCTTAATTATAAGCCTGATATCTTACCATGTCTTCAGTACTTAACATTTTTCATGTAAAATCCATGCAGTGAGACCCAAGGCCTGCAATATAGAAGCCGTCAGCATGAATGTTGGCTACAGTAGCAGCTTCCATGCTGTTAAAGGCCGTTCTTTATAGATACAGGCTACTCATCAAAACTGGAGGGCTTCTCTAGGAGCTGTTTTCAGGAGCAGGACAGGAATTTGTTTTGAAGAGGAAACGTATGGCACATTTTGAATCACAGGCTTCTGCTTGAAGTCTGTTCTCTGTCACAATTTTACTTTATTCAAAGACCAGCTACAAAAGATTGAAGGAATTTCACTCAGTCTTTGTTTATATGAAACAATATGAATGAGGATAACAAAGGCAAAGACAATTAACTACTGAGTTAGATTCAGTGGAGGATTTTGCTTCTTCCACACAAGCAGCACTATGGTCCTTGCGATTTCCTCAACTGGTTCTTAGGTGAACATTTCTGACTTCCTCCACCTCCTTAGTCAAGGTATTTCAGCAACATTATTACTAAAGTTCTAAGGTCTCAACTTACCTGTAGTCCTTTAACCTTCTTATCTTAACTGCATGGCTCTTGTATCCAGAACATCTCAATATTATAATAATAATATATAGTATGTGAAACTTCATACCCCTAGAAGCGTATAAACCAGGTAAAGAGACGTCGTCTCATGTAACTGACTGGTAACTATGGGAAAAAGAGTAATATGGTTTATCTAAGGTCACACAGCAAGCCTTGGACAGTCCTGTGATGGAACTGGAGGCAGAACCTAGTTCTCTTTTGCACATGTAAAATTTTAGTGAGAAAAACACTTTTGCTTCTTCATTTAGTGGAGTATCTTGCTTTTAGGAGGTCAGAAGCATCAGGGGTTGTAGCTGTTGCCACTGGTGGTGTGCAGCTAGACAGGAACAGCAGAGATCTTCCTGCCTGCGTCAGAAGTGAGACAGACAGTGCCGAGGTGCTGTCTCTAAAGACAGAAGCTTTAAATTTATCTTCCTACACACTGCATTTTCTCTTACATTTCTGCATCTTGAAGGCAGATGAGGCATTTTGAGGCACAATTATTTTTTTGTTGTGAAGCTTTTAATTCTTATATCAGCCTCTGGATTTCCCCATTATGTCTACCTGCTTCCTTCCACAGGCACAGGGCTCATGTCAACTTTCAGCTTGGACAGATAGTTTTAAAAGAACAGTAAGGTTCATTAGTGAGAAAACTCATCTGTATTTTCTTCTCAGTAGGTAATTTTCAGCTGAGTAATATGTAACAGCTTCTCAAACAAAAGCTTACCTGGAATTTTCCTGTGCTCTTATCCATACGCTACTGAGTGTGAAAGATCAGAAAGTCTGGATATGTGGAGGTGGTGACTAATTCAAAGCATTGCAATTGCAGGTGAGTAGCTTTGTTTTTCTGAGGTTTAAAATGTACTCTAAGGTAGTGACTTCTGTCTTTAAAATCACACTGACAATCACTGTAATTTTGGGTGGGTGAATTCAGATCAAATAAACAATAAGCAAGACGTTAGCTGAAGGTGTAACTGCGGTGCTTATGAGGAGATGTAATTTATTTGGAAAAGATAGATCATTGCATAAAAATCAACAGCAGCTGCTGAATTTTGAATGAGAAAAATTCTGATTGTGTTATTAAAGGTCCTTTTCTGGAGAACATAGTTGGATTCTACCATTTATGGCAGACAGACAGAACCAGGGGCCTTGAGAATAGCCCAGGGTTTTAAAATCATCATTTTTTCAGTTCATAATCTGTTTTTTGAATGGTGGCAAATATGAAGAGATTTTTTAAACAGAATCTCTGTTTTGTGGTTAAAGAATTGTCAAAATTATACAGAAGATACGCAATGCAGTTTTACTTTTTCAATAAAAGTTGATCTTAAAACTGTCTCATTTGTCTCATATAATTTGTGAGTTCTTCTGTTTCCTTAAGAACATGAGACAAAAGCCATGCAACATTATCCCTCACATTAAAAACAGTAAGGCAAATCCTAAGGCCACTGTTTAGTTTTAGCTGTAAATTGAATGAGAGCTTACACCAACACAGGCTGAGGAAGAACCTCAAGCTCTGAACCTCAACCAGTTTGAGTAGTGTTATCAAGACATTTGTACTGTGTAGAAATGCTAAAAAGTAGAGAACCTAAAAACATTTCTGTATGGTTTCTGAAATCCTCATCCAATTTACTCATTCAGAGGACCGAAGAAAGCAAACAGGAACACTGGAATGGGCAAAAGGAACAAGATCAAGCCCTTCTGGTAAAAAAGATGATATTTAATGCATCATTAAATGCAAATTTAATTTAATGGATATATTTATAAAACTAATGCTCTTGTAATGCAAATACATTGACTGGAAAAATACTTTTCTGTATATGAGAAATACAGGACAAGACTAGGCTTAAAGGTATGTTATGTTTCAGCTCTTCTATCCTTGTCTGGCAAGAAATGGTGCAGAGATGGCAGGATGAGCCCGCACAATCATCTGACACAGTACAGATCCTGCACACCTGGCTGAAAAAGCATTTAAAGTCTGTGTAGCAGGAAATCTGTGAGTGTGCTTGTTGGAGTAGAACACTACTATTAGAGCTGGGGTTTTTTCTGAATGAGGGTTCAGCTGCCTTCCTAGTAAGTATTATAATGCACAGTCATTTACAGCAAAAATGTTTCCTTGAAACACAAATAAATAAGACTGGCAACTTTATTTTGTGCTTGAAATAAACATTTTTGATAAGATTCACTTTGTAAAGGTGTACGAGGATGGCCTAATCCTTCCACCACAAAAGTCAACAGGAGTCTTGTTACGGATTGCATTAATTAATCTTTCCCATTCTTGCCTCATACAGAGGCATAGATAAGTTAAAATACATCAGAAATTGAACTTGAACATAAAATAGTTGAAACGCAAAGTTTACAAGAATGCCATAACTTTGGGGAAATACATTTTTTCCTAATCTAACTTGAATTAAGCATAATAAATTCAAAATACAAGTCTTTCGCTCTGTAAAAACTGTATGAATGTAAAACTCTTGCGGTAAAGCTTTTGGCTTTTTATATACATACATTACACACACACACACACATATATATAAAAATGTATAACATGAAGAAATGATTCAGAAGTTTGGGTTCTAGGCCATATTCTGGAGTAACCTGCTATTGTTATGGGAGTCAATTTAATTATTTTCTCGTACACCAAATATACTAGAAAATAATAATGTATTTTGAATTTCACACAGGAATAAAAATAGTTTTCTCATGATATAGACAAATTCTGATTAATAATTGCATTATGCCCTATCTGTAGAGCTGTCATTAATTTTGATAATGTGAAACACAGATTTGATTTTGATTGCTTTAGGGTAGAATGAGCATCGTTCAGGTAGGATGGGGTTTCTAAAGAGCCATTCACTTTCCAAGTTACAGAATTTTATACAGCAAACTATGCATGAGAAAAATCAATGCTGCAAAGAAACTTATTAAGTCCAGCCTCTTGGTGGAGTATGTAAACAATGTAATGTAAAGCACCAAAATAAAATTGTTGAAGAATATTGTATCATATGTGTGGATATTAGGTTTGTTTGGCTCATGCAAAGCTTGTTTAATCAATAAAATGTTAAGACCACAGTAAGACTGTAGTTTGGTACAGCTCCGATACTATAATTGTATCTGCCTGAATATTTTCTTTAATGTTTTGCAATCTGCAATTGCAACACTTGTGTTTAGAGTGCTTTTACATGACGCTGGGGTAGTACTCATTCAAGAACTGCAAGTAAGCTGGTGAAGATGAAATGAAAAGACACATTACCAACAGAAGACAAAGGTTAAAAGAATGGCTGCACAACACGGAGCAATTTGGGCTTCATTGAGCGTCTGGGAGAATCAGACCTCTGAAAAGCAAAAGCTAACATTACAATTAGAGGAAAGGACAAGATATAAGCCAAAGTTTTATGTCGAACTGGTAAAGAATGAAAAACTTTCTGGTTCTCTGTTTTAGCAGATCTATCTACTGAAGAAAGGTTAGGTATGTTGTTTCATAATGACAGTCATAGAAAAGATTGAACATAAAACATTATGTATCTGGATTTATTTCTGCTATTTATTAGGTAATCTGAATCGAATTCTTTCAAACTGATGAAGTACACTGTGAATTTTTATGTGTATTTGTTAGTCTTTTCATGTTTTTGGTATAAAATACAAGGACTTGTTCACGTGCATACTTTGTGTGTATCAGAAAAAAATTAGTTGTATTGCATGATATTGACCACCTTGTGTAGGACTTTTCAGAGCAATCTGCAAAGATTCTTCAAGTCTAACATTAAACAAGTATATCGTGAAGGAAGAAGTAACTTATCTTTTCTTACCTGTGGAAGTATGTGGGTGTGTTGTATGTGTATATGAATGGTTATATCTCTACTATGTGAAATTTTTAAATTAAGAATATATACCTTTTTACAGGATACCATTCCCGTTCATTTGAGAACAGTCGGTTTGAGGCAGAAATTACTGTGTGAAAATTTTCAGCCCTGTTTTCTATGGAAAGCACTTGCCCCACAACAGTGTGAGAGACATACAGTATCATTACAGGTGATATGAAACGGAGAAAAATTAAATTTAATGTTTCAGAAAGTCCAGAAAAGTGATACTACAAGCAAAACCAACAAACGTAAGTGCAATTACCTAACCTTAGATTGACAGAAGCCTATCATCTGTGACCACAATGTCAGCTGATTCAAAGCTCTATTCATTTTTAGTGTGAAAACTGCAAAAAACTTTGATAATGCTGGAATATAAAGCAAGCATAAAGGCCTTTAAAAAAGAAAAACTGGAATGTTATCTTTAAAGTGGACAGGTGAAAGTTGCATTAAAAGCAGAATGAGAAAGGCACAAGACATTTCTCACTCAGGGTAATGCTGGTCAGTGATTTGTATGTCTTCGTAAGATTGCACTTATAAATTATGTTCACTGTTCAGCATATTGCCTTATTAATTAGGATTTTCCTGGGCCCCAGCGATATAGGGCATTAATCTTAATTAAGCTTCTTCCTTTACTGTCAGGAAGGTTGCCCTCAGGGTAAGACTGACGTTTGCGCTCATGGATGTATGGCCAGTTTGATCACTAGGTTTTATGTGATGAGCTGTGTATTTCCATTATTTTGGGGTTTTTTATGTTTCCCTGTTGCAATATCTGTCTATGACCGTCCTTTGAAGAAAAGGCCCTTACAGACTGCATCTGCCTAATTCAACTAAGTCACTTTTCTGGTACACATGTGCCACCCTGGCAGTCACTAAATGCACTAGCACGGTTCTTGATTGTCCCAAGGAATAGAGAGCTTCACCGGGTAATGGGCTGAGAGCTCAGAGTGCCAGCTTTGACAGTGCTGAGTACCATGAACCAAAGAACCAGATTTGTTTGGCTTTCAGCAGGATTTCCTATTTGTAGCTGGTATAAATGTGGTTTTATGTGGAAGTGGCGTATTTTTGGAAAAGAGGCGCTCCACGGCAGCAGCAAGCTTTGTTGTCACTGGGACACTTACATATAAGAATGGATCCAAAATACAAGGATGAGAGTGGCATGAGATCTTGAGACTCCGTGAAGCTGAATCTTCCAATTTATGGAACGGTGATAAAACTCAACAGCCCTTTGTGCACTGTTAGCATATCATTCTGTAATGTGCATGGTTTTTCCCTGCTCATGCAATGACCTTTTAGGTTCTAAAGTGTGGAAGGCTCTTAGATGATAAAAAGCTGGAGAGGAAACACCTCCGAAGCATAGATTCTCCCTCAGAGGTTACCTGCCTTTGGGGTAGAAACTTTGAGACAAATAAGAATCCTAGATGTAGGAGCAGAAAAGTCACTGAAAAATGTATCCCCCTGAAGACTTTAGTTTCTGACTACTGAATGTTGTAGCTGCTTCCAGTCTAAAATCCTTGATTTCTACCCTCTGATCCATGTGAGTGCGACCTCTAGATCTAGGAGAAACAGGCTTTATTGCTGCACAACCCTAGATCTGCTCAGCTCTTGGTTTCACTGTGTTGAGGAACTGACATCTCCAGAATATTGACTGACTACTAATAATTGTTGAATTTTACTTTGGAAAATTTACACCTTTGAAAGTGGTATTATTTTTTCTTAATCATCGTAGCTAGCACAATCCCTTGCTATTTTAGACCTATTCGTCTTAGTTTTTGCTATAACTTCTAAAAAAGTATTGTTTTAATTTGCTGGTAGGTAAGCTGCTCCAGTAATTGGTGCATTCATTTATGTTGGTTGCATTTTTTTCCAAGTATATCACTTATGTTTTGTTATCTTATGTTTCAGGGCCATTATATTTCTTTGTACTCTTTTGCATCATTATGGTTCTTCAATTATTCTACATATTTTTCAAGAGAGAGATATTATTCACTTAAAAAGAACCAGATTTATTTTCCTTGCTGTAAACACTGAAAATAAAAATCCCAGTGAGTTTTTTTATTGTTTTTAGTCAGTTCTAGTGAAATGTAATTATTTTATATATTTAAATATATTACTGACCTTGTCATTTTACAGTATAATGCAATGCATATTCTCTTGTCTTCCAAAGGACATCATGGCTGTCTTTTTGCAAGATGTAATCAGAAGTCAGATTGCTAATTTGTGATTGACCTGGCTCCCTAGCAGTAAGACCTGTAATTGCCATCAGCTAGCTCCCTCTGTTTTATTGAGTACACACCAGATACTGATTGCAGCATTAGAGCCAGTGCTGCAGTTGTGTCCCATGCTGAGAATAAACTCCCAATAAAATTCTTCCTTTTGAATTCGTCAGCATCACTTTAAAAAGAGCTACCTGACTAGTAATTGGTACAATTTACCTTCCCCAAAAGTTTAATTTTAGGTTGTCTTTTTCTCCCAGAAAGTTTCTAACAGTAATGTCAGCAATTATGCTTAGCTATTGTTGAATGACTTAGAGCTCGTGTTGACTGTCAATATATAACGCTGCTACAATTGCACAATTCCTGGTGTACAGGAAGCACCTCAGCGGTGGAATGGATGGTGTCTGCAGGATTTGGAGACTCTTTCATTTACTCTGCAGCTTGATCCAGAGCTGTTTCCAGTAAGCTGGAAAAGTGATCGAAAGAAGGAACTGAAATGAGTGAGTATGCCGTAGAGACCTGGCTGGACACTCAGAAAAATGTACATGACTTGAACTTACAGAAGGAGTGCCTCTTCCCCTCTCATCTTTTAGTAATAGCTCTAATAAACAAGTGATCCCTATGTGGGAACACATCCTCTATTTGGGGTTTATAGAGTGAACTACTAATTCATCTATCTACCTAGCTAGATATTTTCTGTGTGGGCATAGTTCATGTACATATCTACATCTGTAGGGTAGCAGCATCAAATTACTCTTCACTTACAGGACATCCACAAAATTTGTCAGGTAAATTATGCTTTATATATCTGTCTTCCCAGCACTGTATATTCCTGGCACTTCCATTGAAAGGAAAAACAGACCCGCTCAAGTGTGTGTGTGTGTGTGTGTGTGTGTGTGTGCACACTTGCACATGTGTGTAGGGGTGTGTGTGAGAGAGAGAGAGAGGAGAGAAATGTTTCTCTGTGAGGCTACAAGACCAGTCTTTTACCTCTGTGTTTGAATGGGAGATTAGACTGGGAGGGACTCCTACTGAAAAAAGTAAAACTAATGAAGACACCCTTACACTGGTGGGCACCTCAGATACAAATGAAAGGGGAAAAAGAGATAAAATGGTTGGTGGTGTGCCAAGGAAAAGTCACACATGG